CGGGGGGGAGGGGGTGTGGGGGGGTTCGGGAAGAGTCTGGACAAAAATCGTGCACCTATGGATGAGGACAGTGAGGGGGTAAGGGCAGAGGGTAGGGTGGGAACGGGGTGGAGGATAGTTATGGGGGGAAAAAAGAGGAACGACTGTAATAATCTGAACAATAAAGATTTAATAAAAAAACTGAACACACAAAAATGGACATATGGTACGGGGAGGGGGGGAAATATTTTCACAGGACTTTTAGAGACTTCTCTTATGCAGTAACTATCATTTATATTTCCAAATACACACAAGGTCAAAACATGATACCACCCCAGGAAACTTCTTTTTAAAGGAAGTAAGAGGAGGTGGACTTGCGCACCAAGCCTTGCGCACCAAGCCCTGCGCACTAGTTAGAAGCAAGGGCTCGCTGTTCCTGTGGCAACGAGGATCACCTTTTAGACACAGTGCTGAGTGGAAAGTGAGAATGAGCGCCGCAACACAATACACTTCCATCAATTAAAGATGTCCCACCGAACCCAGGAATGCACGTCTATGAGAGCCAGCCCTGAAAAAATAAACTTTAAACAGCAACAACAACAAGAAAAGAATCGCACAGAGTAAAGAACCACACATGGAACACACCGGATGCTGGCCGTTGGGAAGATGGAGTAAGGGAACCAACACAACAATCCTACGAGAGAGGGGCCTGCAGGCGGGCAGGCTGCCAGGAGCTAAGGTCTGGCTCTCCTTCCAGCACTGAAATCTCACTAGAGGAACAATGACTTCATGACAGACACAGCCAAGTCAGCTGAATCAAAACCAAGAACTCAAGAAATCCTGGTGCACAGTCAGAAGCACACGTTCTGTAATCCGGGCGCCCACTCCGTGCCTCTGCTTGTTCCTGCGTGGAGCTGAGGATGGTGTCCACCCTTGTCCAGTGGCTGGAGGAAACGTCAAAAGGTTACTGTTCGGTGACACATGAAATTCACACGGCAGAGGCCAGACCGTTTCCCGGCCGCGGCCACACCCCGGCACCTGCATTGTCCACGGACGCTTTCTACACGCAGAGCTGGGTCCCTGCAGTGGAGACCACAGGGCCTGCAGGACCTAAGTCTTCCCTCTCGGGCCTTTACAGCAGGTTTGCTGACTCCTGTCATAAAGGGATCAGCAGTGCAGCCTCCTCCCTCAGCTCGGGGGCCAGCAGGAAGCGCTGGGAAGAGCTGCCTCCCTCCAGGGCAGGGCTGGGGGTCCGCAGGCAGCACAGGAACCGGGGCCCCTCACCCAGCCCAGGTGGGACAATGGCGAAGCTGAGCCTGCACCCAGCTTAATAAGTAACACCATCATGCTGGTGTGGCTCAGTGGTTGAGCATTGACCAATGAACCAGAAGATCATGGTTTGATTCCCAGCCAGGGCACATGTCCATGTGTCAGGCTCAAACCCCAGTAGGGAGTGTGCAGGAGGCAACCGATCAATAATTCTCTCTCATCATTGATCTCTCTCTCTCTCTCCCCCTCTCCCTTCCTTTCTGAAATCAATAAAAAAATATTTTTAAATATATACATATGGAAAAGAGTGGTGACCAACTTTG